TTGTTATATGGCAAGCGTGCCAAGGATGCCAAGTGTGGCAAGTTTTGGGCAAGTGTGCCCTTGTTATATGGCAAGCGTGCCAAGGATGCCAAGTGTGGCAAGGTTTGGGCAAGTGTGCCCCCTATTCTGTGGCAAAGGTGCTCAACTTGTGTGCTTAAAATTAAAGAAAAAGAAATAAATGGGCGGCTCGAAAAACTATGCCCAAGAATAATAGCAGTTGCCATGAAATGACCCTTAGAGAAAAGTGCCGTTTTGATCAACCTAAGTGTAGATTGGTGAGATATGCCAGCAGTGCAATACCGTACCTGACGAAACTCATGAATGAAACAAATAATGAAATTTACAGGTGAAAAACAAAATCAGTTTATAAGGCCCAATTTTGAGTTATCGCGTCCATTTGTTTTTTTTTTCAATTTAACCTTAATTCTATTTTTTTTAGCTGAGCACATTTCCTTGTGATGTGGCTGTCTTTTTAATATTTATATTGTTTTAACTAATATGTTTTTATAGATTAATGTAAAAAGAAATTTTTATTTTTTGTTTTTAAGTGTCTTTATATATTTTTCTGTTAAAGTGTTTACCTTTAATGGCTTTTTAATTGTGTTAATCTTTTTCTTAATTTTGTAAACTCACATACATTTTGGCTTATCAGTGTGGGTAAAGAAAAAATGAAAAATGAATGAGTATTCTTGGCATTACACATGTTGTTGCCAACCCTCGACTTAGACCAGTGCTACTCTGCATATGTTGTGACTGTTTGGGCAGGTAGAGTACTATAGACTCCTCCCCCACATTCATTGTGGGTCGGGTCTACTAGAGAATACCTACCCAAACAGTCCTCACCCAATCGTCCTCCCCACTCTGGCTCCAACCCTTTTTGAGTCACTTTTGAAAAGGACGAAAATGGCGGTGGGACCACATTGCATTGTTGGAGGTCAGGGTGCACCACAGATGATCAAATCTTTTCAGCGAATAATAAGTGCATGCAAAATTTGCACATGTAGTGACTGTTTAGATAGGTATTCTGTAGTAGACCCGACCCACACTGAATGTGGGGAAGGATTTTCTTTTCTTTTTGATCGAAATGCAGTTTGTTTTGACTCCACTTGATTTGATAAATAAAGGAGAAACCTTGTTTAATTTTATTAGTGTTTTTGTTCAAGGTTAACAATTTAAGGGAGTGAACATGATCATGAGAACATTATTTCTGATACTTTTCCCAAATTGCTGTTCTAAATTAATATATTTGTTATAACATAATTTCAAATGCAACATTTCGATTTAATGAATGC